GTTGTTGTTTTGGTTTGGTTGTTTTTTTTTTGGTTTTGGTTTTGGTTTTTTGAGACAGAGTCTCACTATATGGTCCAAGCTGGTCTTGAACTCAACTATGTAGCCCAGGTTGGCCTCAAGCGTGTAGTGATCCTCCTGTCTCAGCCTTCCGAGTGCTGGGATTACAGCTGTTGTTTTCAGTTGTATTTCTCTAATGGCCAGAGGTATTCAACATTTTTTCATGTGTTTACTGGTCATTTCTACTACGTCTTCTGAGGAGTGTCTGTTCATTTCAGTTGTCCATTTTTTGACTGGGTCTTTTATTTGGGGAGGACTAGGTTTTTCAGTTCTTTATATAGTCTAAATATTGTTCCTCTGAGGAATAGCTGGCATATTTGGGCGGGGGTGCAGGGGGGCAGGGGCTGAGACAAGGTCTTACTATGTACTCAGGCTGGCTTTTAACTCACTGTGTAGCCCAGGCTGGCCAAACTCACAGCAGTCCTCCTGCCAGAGCCTCCCAAGTGCTGGGATTACAGGTGTGTGCTACTGTGCCAGGCAAAAAAAAAATTTTTTTTTTGTACCAGGGATCAAAGTCAGGACCTTGAAAATAAAAAAACACAAAACTCAGGACCTTGTGCTTGCAAGGCAGGCCAGACACCACTGAGCTTAATCCCCAGCCCAGGGATATAATTTTTATTTATTTATTTATTTTTTGGTACCAGGGATCAAACTCGGGTCCTTGCGCTTGCTCAGCAGGTGGCAAAACCACTGAGCTAAATCCCGGCCCAGGAATATAATTTTTAAAATAGCCAATACATCGTGTGTGGGTATTTTTGGTACCCGAGATTGAACTCATGAACCTGCACTTGTGAGGCAGGCGCAGAGCCACTGAGCTAAATCCCCAGGCCCTCACATCATTCTTACTATAGTCAGGTACTGTATCAAAGACATGTACTAAAGATGAGGCAAAACAGCTAATAAGGAGTCAAACCTATTGTCTCTGTTCTATCACTTACCAAGATTTTACAAGAGGAAGAAGAGACGTGGAAGAAACATTTAGCCATATCCACAGACTGATTAGAGTTTGCCTTGGATTAGTGAATTGAGATGAGGACCAATTACAGGAATAGGATCTTGTTCTAAGAAGGAACTGTGTGCATACAGCTAGAGTGGGGGTGAGAGCCAACGTGCTAGGGTTTTGAATACAGAGCTAGAAGGTAATGTGTTACTGGTGCAGCAGGACTGTCCTAAGGCCAGTTTGTGTATGGCTTGGGAAGGTTTCACGCCAGAGGAAGGACCCGAATTAACAGTGGGTAAGTTAGACTCACATTTTCTCTACTAGAGAACTAGGAATATCTGTAAGAGAAACAAAAGATTACCTCTCTGTTGAAGATAAAAGGGTTTTATTATTTACTGAAAAATAAGTTGCTTGTGTATTGCTTTACTGCTTAAAAAAGGACTTCATATCCACCCATAAGTGCACCTAACACGTAAAAGCAGAAATTGTTATCCCCATTTTATTTTAGGCTGTGATTATCTATTACTGTGTAACAAACCACCCTAAAGAATAGTGGTTAAAAGATAATTTATTGGCTGGGGATTTAGCTCAGTGGTTTCACCGCCTGCTGTGCAAGCACAAGGACCCAAGTTCAATCCCCGGTACCAAAAAAAAGATAATTTATTAATTTTGCTCATGGTTAGTCAGTTGAACTCAGTTGGAGGTATCTCATTTGACTGTAGTCAGATAGCAGCTGGGAATGGAGTCACTTAGAGCCTCAACTGGGCTGGATGTCCATACACATAATTTATACCTGGCTTTTTTTTTTTTTTTTTTTTTTTGGTGCTAGGGCTTGAACGTAGGACCAAATACACACACTAGGCAAGGGTTCTACCACTGAACTACACCTGTAGTCTGACTTCTATATTTTATTGATCAAAATAGTTACAGGGACTGCTGGATTCAAAGAGATGAAAGAGTGCAAAGGTCACTGAAGAAAAGCATATGGAGCGGGAGATACTTTGCAGCCATCTCTGAAAAATTCACTCTGCCTCAACAAGAAAACCAAGTCTCAGAAGTTGTTTAAAAATCATCTTCTGGGTACCGTGGTGCATGCCTATAATTCCAGCTATGTAAGAGGCTGAGGAAGGAAGATCACAAGTTTAAGGCTGACCTGGGAAATTTAGTGAGAACATATCTCAAAATAAAAAATAAAAAGTGCTGGAGATACAACTCAATGCTAGGAGTGTCCCTGGGTTCAGTCCCCAGTATCAGGAATTTTTAAATCAGATTATCCATCATATATCATGTATTTTCACATTACCCTAATTCTAAAATAATCATAAGTAAAGGGGTGACAGTATTTTGAATTTAAACCAAGTTCGTTAGACTTTAGATCCAGTATTATTCATGCAAGGAAATATTTTCTGTTCAACAGTAATTGCCTACTTTATGATAGGCACTGTGATAACAAATGACATAGAAATGAACAAGATCTGATTTCTGTGCTTAAAGGAATCATGATCCAATAAGCAAAAAAAGATATATCTTGATTAAAATATTTTAAATTGTTCTTAGCAAGATGGAAGAAAACTTGAAAGTAGAAGTGGGCCACATTAAAGATAAGTAGTTTGGCCCAGGCAGACAAGGAAGAGGTATTATCTTTAGAGGTATGAGATTAGCTGAAAGATACTAGGTTCTGGCCTTAATGCAGACTAAACTGAGACAATCCATAAGTGGTTTTTTGTTTTTTAATGCATACCTGAGCTTCCAAGAAAGAAATATGAAGGAACTGAAAGCTAGAACAAATGGCTAAATAGCCAATGCACCTCCTGGGAGGATACAGGAAAGTACTGGAGGGCCTAGAAAAAATACTGACAAGAGACAAAACTAACTCCATGGATGTAGTGGAATGAGACCTCCAGTTAAACCGGGGACCCTGAAAGAACAACCTTAGTGAAAGAGGGTAAACTATCAAATATACACCCACTTGACAAAAGCAGAAAGAGGGCTGGGGATTTAGCTCAGTGGTTCCGCCGCCTGCCTGGCAAGCCCAAGGACCCGAGTTCGATCCCTGGTACCAAAAAAACCCAAACTACAAAAAAAAAAAAACGGACGACAACAAAAGCAGAAAGCAAAGGAGTTTGAATGCCTGGGCTTGTGGAGCCAGAGACTTAAGAATTCTAATTCCTGGCTCTATACCGAATACGAATTTGAGAGCCTAAATCTTTGCTTCCTGTGTGATCCAGGAACTGTCACTATGCCTTACCCATCCCCAGTAATAAATTGGTTTTCGATCAGTTGTCCATGGGTTATCTCTGCTGAGATGTGTATGATGCAAATAACGTAGAACTCTTACTCCTCCTCCCCACCAAAAGCTCCTAAAGATTATTTCAGTCAAACCTGAAACACAACTAACAATACCAGGATCCAGAATCTATAAGGAACTCCCTACTAATTTGAAAAAGAAACCGGGTTTCGTGGTGCACACCTGTAACCTCAGCACTTGGAGGGCTGAGGTAGGAGGACTGCTATTTCAATGCCAGGCTTAACTACACATTTAGACCCTGGTTTTTTTTTTTTAAAAAAAAAGTGGGAGTAAAAGGGTTGAGGATATAAGGAAACTGGTTTTGTTTTTGTAGTACTGAGACTGAACCCAGGGCCTTGTGCATGGTAGGCAAGCACTCTACCACTGAAATACATCCCTTGCCCCAAAAGCTGTGTTGTGTTTTGTTCTTTTAATCATGAAAGAGGTTTATGAGCAGAGTACAAAGGTTAGAGCAATATGCCAGTGACAGCATGGGAGAGAACAAATATTCAAAGGGACTGGTATTCTGGACAATCACCAAGAGTGATGTGAACTACCCATTTTCTAGGCTCTAAATAGTGATGGAAGAATCTCTTCAGAGTAACACGTTACTTGAATGTGCTGCATTTTCTTTCATGTTGTCTTCCTATCTTTGTAAGACCTACAAATACATTCTCTGTGCGGTAGCAGAGTTTGAAATCTACCCTTAGACTAATATTGTACACAATGGGCTTAAGAAGCAGCACTGTTTTACTGTACACAAGGACCGATCAGAAAATATAGTGTTTGAATTTCAAGGAACTTATTACAATAAAAGACACATCGTCAGGGCCGGGGATTTAGCTCAGTTGTTCTGGCGCCTGCTGCGCAAGCTCAAGGACCTGAGTTCCATCTCCTGTACCAAAAAAAAAAAAAAAAAAGACACATTGGCAATAATGATGGGATAAGTACATTCCAAGCAAGAAGTATTTTGAGGAAGATTAATGGCAATGTGTCTTTTACTATAATATATTTAAACTTCGCCAAATATTTCAATCAAACTTCTATGTCAACCCTTCCTTTTAGGAACTAACCCTCTTTTATTTCATGCAATTATATTAGAGCTGCCAAACAAGGGCCTCTGACTTTCCAGACACAGACACAAAAGCATAACCATGCTGCCCAGAGTACCTCATTTCCCTAGACACAGTAATTGGACCAGGAATAGTCTGCACTAAGACCTCCTTACAGTTTTCTCAGGGACTCTGTAAGTGGTAAAGCACCTACTTAACATGCACAAGCCCTGGATTCAATCCTCAGCACCAAAATATAAAAAATACAAATAAATAAATGCTGGGGCAGTCTTATCCAAGATCATGAGGGCTGATACTAGTACTGCTAAAGCTATAGAATTTGCCACAATAATGTATACACACTTCAGAAAAAGAAAAATAATAAATGTCTAGAAGCTCATGGCCACCACTTTGATTACCTTTTATAATTGTAGAGGCCAAAGGTAACTTGTATTAATCTCATTATGTCTCAAATTTAGTATTAAAATATTTATACAAGTTTTTCTTTTCCTAAGTATGTATACATTTTTTTGGCAGACTCTGTATATCCTTCGATATTCATGGGTGATAAGAGCCCAAGATACTGTAATACAGTCCATGACTCAAAAGCTAGCTCCATTTCTATGGTCCAGATATTATTTGGGAAAACAAAAACACCAACACATAAACATGGGAAATATTTAATGTCTACAGGTGCACTTCACCCTCACATTCCCATTATGGTTCCACAGCCCCCCAAAACTGTCAAACTAGCGAAACTGGCAGTACCACTGAACCCTAGGCACTTTCTTACAGCAAGGTTTGAAAACCCACAAGTCCTCTTGACCTGGAAATGATGGCAGGTGAGGTCTTTCCACAGCATGCTCACGAGAAAACACCCCCCATCCTACAGGACTCCCGAGGTCTTCTGTTCTTCTGCAGCCTGGCGCCGGGCGCTGCGCAGCTGCAGATAGTGGTAGGCTCGGACACTGCAGAGGTAGCCCCCATATACAGTGAGGAGCATCATGGAGACAGAGAAGGTCTTATAGCCGATGTCAGCTAGCTGCTTGGCGGTTGGCATGTTGTTCCCTACAAAGAGAGATTGCAATTTGACCCAGGATAAGGACTCATTTCCCTGCTCCAGCCCTGTGTTAAGGACCATTCCATAACCTGCATCCTGCTTAGTCTCGTACACAGCAGTCTTGTAAGGATACTATATGACATCCTCTGGGAACTCTGATTCAAAAAGGCACATATGGTCTGTGTACAAGACATAGGCAGGAGCCAGATACATCTGAATATGTACATTGACACCTGGCTTTCCAGCTTTGTGGAGAGAAGTGGCTGGCCCATCCAGAACTGATCTTAACTGGCATATTACTTGAAGGATGTAGCAGTTTTTCTGGCTTAGAATTACTCTCCTAGAAGATCAAATGAGAATCTTTCAGGCAATATCCAATTTGTTTTCCCATAAAAACAATCTTGTTCAAGTAGTTAGCCTTAAAGTATGTTTAAGCCATAATATACCTTGAAATAGTGCCAACAGTACTTTTATATTATTTCAATTATACTTAACCTTCTACACCATTAATTCTAAGTTCTAAACTGAACATTAAGAACCTGTCCCAAGGGCTAAAAACAATCTTCCTAGGTCCTGTTCCTGGTGAAGTTTTAACTCATATTTGCATGAGATACAGAACTTCTAATTTAACTCTTCCTGGCTATTGTGAGCTGGGAAACAAGGGAAAGGTTAGTGAATGAATCCCTTGTCCAGAGCAAAATGTTCCTTAATTTGGGACTAGATCTTAGGCTCCCCTCAGTTGAGAGAAATGAAATTAAAAGACTGACCTGGCCCGGGGATTTAGCTCAGTGGTACTGCGCCTGCCTCCCAAGTGCAAGGTCTTGAGTTTGATCCCCGGTACAAAAAAAAAAAAAGACCTACCAAAGCCAGATGTGGCAGCACACACCTATAATCTCAGCACTCCTGGGAGCCTGAGGACTGCAAGTTCAAGGCTGGCCTGGACTACATGGCAAGACACCTGGTTAGGTGAAGTACACCTAATTAGTGGGGTGTAGTTTCTTTAACTTGAGCTAGAGGTGGTAGTATGTTTTTAGTACTAGCTAGCTGGGAGGCTGAGGCAGGAGACAACAGCTTGAGACTAAAGAGTTCAGGGCCAGCCTGAGCAACATAGCTACAACCTGTCTCAAAAAGTGAAAAACCTGGAGGATGATAACTTCAAGATCAGCTGGTTTAGGAGACATGTAAGTGCTGCTCAATGAGCCCTACAGGCCTTGAGGACAGACCCTAAGATGAGCCAAGGCACAGCTTCTTTGAATTACAGTTGTGCTAAAGAAAGTGACATTACTTACCTAACGTCAGAGAAAGAAAACTGAACGACGCAGGCTCAGGATAAGAAAGGGTCTCGCTGCCTGCCTTACAAGCGCAAGGTCCCAAGTTCAATCCCTGGTATCCAAAAAAAAAAAGGGGGGGGGTCTGTTCAGGTTTTCCAAGGTTTTTAATGACCCCAAGCCAGTGGTGGCAAACCTATGGCACAAGTGCTGCAGCAGGCTGTGTGTTATCATTGAAAGCTCCAAAAGTTTTGCCTTCACTGTCCTAAGCTATGCACAGACAGTGAGGGACACAGGGCAAGACACTAAGGTTGTAAACAAGCACCCCACAGATACTACAGCTTTCAACCTTTCCTTCTCTTCCTCCCTCTCCTGCCATTTCCACACCATGGCCAGAAACTAACCAGTTACCGGACTCCCTCTCTTAAGGAGCTGGAGGAAAAGCAAACAAAGGAACAGGATGCTCCAGCTGGGCTAGAAGAATGACATTAGACCAACAGACACAATCCTGGTGTCTTATTCTCAAATTAGCAAAAATTCTTCACTAAGCTAAGGCAGAGACAGCAGAAATGGAAAAGATGGAAATATAAGTTATTTTGGAAGCACAGGATTGTCAACTGAATGGATTGGAACAAAGCTGAAAATAACCTCCAAGCTAAGAAACTTGTGGATAGGGCTGGGACTTAGCTCAGTGGTTCCACCACCTGCTTTGAAAGTGCAAAAAAATAAATTTGTGGATTGGAATGCTGTTCACAGAAATAAAGAAGTATGTGTCACTATGTGTACTGAGGGTGTGACGGTATCAGTTAAGATCATGGGGCTGAGGTTGGGCATGGTGGCACATACCTATTATCCCAGAGCTCAGGAGGCTGAGACAGGATTGCCAAGAGGCCAGCCTGGGATACATAGTGAGTTCAAGGCCAGCCTGAATTACAGAGAGAGACCCTGTCTCAAAAAACCAAAAAAAGATCACAGGGCTCAGAGTGTGCCTCAGTGGAAGAGCACTTGCCAGGCATGTGTAAAGCGCCTGGGGTTCAATCCCTAGCACTGAAAAAATAAAAAACAGGTTGGACATACTAAAATTTTTTTTTTCTCTTTTTTTGGTGCCAGGGATCGAACTCGGTTCCTTGCACTTACAAAGCAGGTGGTGGAACCACTGAGCTAAATCCCCAGCCCGGACATACTAAAATTAACACACATTCACATGATGATGTCTATCAGGCAGAAGGGCAGAAGGAAATGAAAATCTGGACAGATCTTGAGAGAGAAACTGCGTTTCAGATACAGATGAAGGTAACAGGTGTCACCAAAGCAGAGAAGAAAACTGAGACAAGCCGGCATGGTGGCGAACATTTGTAATCCCAGCATTCGGGAGGCTGAGACAGGAGGATGGCTCAATTTGAGGCCAGCCTGGGCTACACAGTGAGTTTAACCCCAACCTGAACTACAGGGTGAGACCCTGTCTCAAATAAATAAATAGATAGATAGATAAATAAATAAATAAATAACCAACCAACCAACCAAGAGACAGAAGCCAAGGGAACAACAATTGGAAGACAAAAACAAGGAAAAAGGCAGACAAGAAATTTTAGAAATATAGGGGGTTATGGCTTATTTAGCTACATTTTCCTTCCTGGTTAAAAATCACCTCTGAATCGTCACTCATTGCCACTGACAGACATGCTGTATCCTTTCAGTGTGTTTGGCCAGAATAAAAACTGGGAACCATACTGCAAAGTGCCATGAAGTCTGGTCAGATGGGAGCACTGGGTGGGGATGGGTCACCAGGTCACTAGTAAGCCTAGGGGTGGAAGCCAACTTAATGCAATGAACTGGAACAGGCAATATAGACATCAAGTAGATACCACAGATCTTCATCCAGGGCTCCAGCAAGCCTATGAATCACAGTCTGGTATGTGCCTAGCACTTCTCCATGACAAAGAAAAACGGACTATTAGGGGATCGTAACCTTCCTCCTCCAAAGATGAGAACAGATGTTCTTTTGGTTTCCTTCCGGTTAAGGGACTGAAAGCGATAAAGCTGTAGTTTGAGAAGGTAAAAAGATCAAGAAAAGTCTAGTTTTGTTTTGCACCTTGATTAGGAAGGTGTGAGTATCTTTTCTTTCTTTTTTTTGTTTTGTTTTGTTTCTTGAGACAGAGTCTTGGGATGTAACCCAGGGTGGCCTTCAACTCGTGGTGATCCTCCCGTCTCAGCCTCGAGTGCTGGGATCACAGGGGTGCGCTACCAGGCCCGGCATGAAATCTTTTTTTTTTTTTTTTGGAGAATATCTTTTAAAAGGGAAGAAAGTGGTGACTAAATTGAGGATAAAAGTGAGAACAGACCCAGATTGAGGATAGTCTAGGAGAAAACGAAATAAGAAGTCTGGGGAGAAGGTTTAACCTTGGAAATGAAGGAAACTTTTGAGACTGGAAGGACTTTCTGATTTAAGGAACATTCACTTTCTCAATAAAATACAAAGCTGGAGCCAGGCATCCTGGCTCATGCATGTAATTCTAGCACTCTGGGAGGCTAAGGCAGGAGGACTGCAAGGTTGAGTCCAGCCTGGAAACAGTGAGCCGCTGTCTTAAAAAAAAAAAAAAAAAAAAAAAAGCTGGGACACAGCTCTGTGTTCAACCCTCAATACAAAGTGGTCTGCGGCACAAAGCTGGGTCTCTATTATGAAGTGATGGTATTGCAGGTTTTGGAAAAACACCTTAGAATCATCATAGAAATACCATTAGGGTACAATTTGTAAGGGTTATGTGTTACGTGGCTTTAATCTTTTTTGGCCCTCTAAACACGGGAGGGCCTCAAGACTCTGCTTTCCTCTTCTGAAAACTCATTCCTCCAGATGAGTCTATTATATCAACTTAGATTCACTAGTTCGTCTCTGATTTCGCACCTGGAGCACATAATGCTAGGAGGGCGCAGTAATGAACACGGATTCCTTCTAAAGGAGCTAATGGTGACATGCTACGAATCCTATTCTGTTAGATAAGGTGAAAGACTGTGGGTGAGTTCAGAAGCAGAGTGGGGGCTCAAAATAAGGTGCAAAGGTGGAGCTATCTTTTTAGAACGGTGGGAAGATTTTACACCAGCAGAAAAGACGAGGGGGAAATTCGGCCGCGGCAGCTCTTGGAGTCGCAGCGTGCGGGCCTAGACGCCAGGCCGGTGAGGCTGGACACTGGATAGCGTTGCGGTTTAGCGAGGCTGCGCTCTGGCTGCAGGGGGGCTGGGCAGGAAGCCGCGCGGCTCTCGCGCCTGGGCCCGCAAGGGCACCGAAGCCGGCCCACAGGAAAACGGGAGGGGCGGTGAGCCGGCCCAGGTGGGCGCGCACGGCCCCGACCTACAGCATACCTGGGTGCTGCTGCTCCCTCGTGTCCAACTGAGGCCTCCCTCCACCGACAGTCTCGACAGTCTCGCTGCCACTATATGCACAACTCCGTAGGACGACCGGAAGCCACGCCCGGAACGAGACACGTGCGGGTCGTGACCCGAGAACAACCCGGAACGTCTCAGCTATTGGTGTGGAAAGCAGCCCCTCCCCGCGCCCGTCTAGGCCTCTAGGACTTTCTTCAACCCTAGGAAGCAAACCGGTGCCGGCCCCGCAAAGCCCCGCCCCCATGCGGGGGTGCGCGACCGCCACTATTCAGGCGGGTGACCGGCTTTGAACTTCCGGCTTCCGGGTCAATTATCCTTGGGACACAGCCTCAGATGAGCCTTCCTGTCCGAGAGACCCGTGGAACTCTGGGGGTGGGGGCCGGGGATGTAGCTCAGTGTCGCCGCGCCTGGCTCTAAAGCGCAAGGTCCTGAGTTCGATCACCGGTACCAAAAAAAAAAAATTCTGGGAGTTATAGTTACGCTTCATCAAGAAAGCGTCTATGCTGACTGGAGCTCGGGAACCGGAACTTTTAAAATGAGAATCATCCAATCTCCAGCTTACAGCGCGGTGACGTCTCCGGTAGCGAGGTAGATTTTCTCAGAGCCAGCCCTCCGGAGTGGACTGTGCGCCCCCTAGAGCCTGGACCAGCCCTCTCCGGGTGGTCGGGCTGCGAGTACTGACGGGCACTGCGAGGCCCTGAGCGTGGGTTCCCCACGAAGTGACTAACATGACCTTAGCCTTTGCAGGTGGCGTGATAAAGCCTCTGATAAACTCGGAGAAGACAGCTTTTGGAAGACGGGGCGGGGGGCGCTGGCTGGGGAGGAAGGAAGGAGAAAGGGACTGAGTGGGCACCACGATTGGCACAGAGAGCGGCTGCAATTATCGAGGAGGGATTATTTTCACTGGTCCTGTGGCAAGCGTAAAAACACGCACGTAGTGATACACGACAGCACACACGATGCCAGTGAAGCCCATTCTCACCTGTTTCTGAAAAAAAAAACCTCGCTTTATTGGGTGGACAGGTGACCCGATGGCAGACCTCTGATTCAGTTCATTGTGGATTGAACAAAAGCAGGCAGAGGTGTTGGAAGGTCTCTGGCCCATCTTAACCTCCAGAAAGGGCAGCTCTAGATTCTATCAGTGCCTGGACCCGACCCAGCCAGGCCTGGCGTGGCTGTGCCCGTCATCGTGCAGCCTGATCAGGGCAGCTCGGCCCTTCATAGTCAGACCAAATTCTGAATGGTAGTTAAGAGGAACATCATGGTTTCTGGGGAGTCAGAGAGGTTAACATGTAGCTGCCCAGCACCAGTGTGCCAGGTGCTGCCAAACGGGAAGAGGAAGCACAGACCCCTGCTGGACACAGGAACCTCTCAGCTCTCGGACTATTTATAGCTAGGGGCCTGGGCTGCTGACCTGGGACATTCCCCTGCTGCCACCCAGTCCTGGAGCAAGGCCAGTGTAAAGCACACTCCTCTCCCCCTCCTGTCTGTCCCTCACCCCTGAGGGCAGGGTGGTTATTTCTTCCTCCTCCTTAAGTTTCCCAGCTTCTGCTGTTGTGATGGTCAGTACCTCATTAGGAGACCCTCATTCAGGGAGGAGGAGCTTGCTTTGGAATATGAGCACCCACCAACGTGGGAACCATTCTCTGGCCCCAGGTCTCGATGCCAGGTGCTGGTTAGCTGTCCTGGCTGCTCAGGAGAAAGAGGTACAGGGCTGGGGAGGAGGCAGTAGGGCCAGGTGGCCTCTGGGGAAATAAACAGCAGGAGGGGCCCAACAGCTATGTACACTTCCTCCAGTTAGACCTCCAAATAGGGAGGCTGGGCAAATACAAAGGTCACAGGGACCGAGCGAGCTGAACTTGCTATGAAAAGGTGTAGCTGTCAGCAGATTAAGTTTCTACTCTCCAAAGAGGGTGCTGGCAGGCAGGGCAAGGGAAGACTTGGAAAGGTCACGCATGGTGTGGAGGAGCTGGCAGAGATCTAGGATCCAGAAAGTCCCTGGGGAGAATAGCAAGCCCCAGGGGCAGAGATGCCAGCAGGGAGCTACTCTTCTGCCAGGGCACCCTGAGAGAAGAGGGACAACCAGAGGTTTCTGAAGACGCAAATGTTGCTAGGAGAAGCTAGGAGGGATTGCTTGAGATCTCTATATTCTGCTAACAAATGCTGAGATCCATCCATGCTGTGTGGGGCCTGGCCCCCCCACAGTAAGGGGGTTCTGGGGCTGTGTCAGCGAAAATACTCAGATCCCTCCCTGGCAGCCCTGGCCTAGTCCCTCCTGTGGCTAAGGTACTTCATTGGGCTTCCTGGTTGTGCAAGCCAGCAACTGGCAGCCCTTGCCCTGGTGTCCCCTCCTCCCACTCCCCCCCCACACACACCCTGAGAGCAGGCAGCACTGGGGCTTGATTCTGCTCCTCCCTAGGACAGGGAGAAAGCTCCGAATCTGGAGAGAGATAGGGCAGCTCCATTTCCAGCAAGAGGCTGCAGGCCTCCCAGCAGTCCAGACCTCCAGGTGTGGAGCTGAGCCACAACCTCCCGTCCTCCAGTGAAAAGCTGAGATGGCTGCTTGAGGAGTCCTGAAGATCCCGGTGACCGACCTGATGCAAGCTTCTGCTTGTGTCCGCTGGGGTGAAGGAGCTGCCTGTCCTGGGCCCTGGCCCCACTCACATGTGTTCTGGGTGATTCTGCAGACACCGGATGAATTCACCCACTGGCTGGCCCTCGTAGCACACCTTGTACACAGCCGTGAACAGCGGGAACCTAGAGTGGAGGGAGATGCCCAGCCTAGTCTCGTGCTCCTGGTCCATTCTCTATCCCCCAGACCTCAGCTACCTCCTAACCCTCCACTCTGTTACCCGCAACACTGCCTATCATGTTGGAGCTCAGGCAGACGCTGGCTCTCAATTGCAGAGAATCCAAATTCCCGAGCTGAGTTTAGGGTCAGGTTGCTAGCTGCCCTGCTCCCTATCATATGGAACTTGCCTACATAATTCCCTGATCTCAAGTTTTGTTTTGTTTTTCCCAATTGGGCAGCCCATTTACCCCTTTGGAGCCTCAGTACCATCAATATCACACAGCAGTGGAGATACGATGTATCTATGAAGATATGTTTCCTTTGCCATCCTTGCCCAGGCTCCCTTAATCCGGAGCTATGAGCTGCTGCTCTGAACCTGTTTCATACTCTTGTAGGGTTCTTTCCCAGGCCAACAGGGCTCAGCTCTGCTCTCCTCAGCCCTCTCACCCCACTGTGCTCCCTAGAGAGGAGACATTAAAGCAGAGCCATCCTCCTCAGTGTCCAGGACAGGCTACAGAGGACAGAAGGGCTGGCTGTGGGGGACAGACAAAGAGGACAGTCAGACAAGCTTACACTCCCTCAGAGCTCCAACCCCCAGAGAAAGGACAAGTTGCCGGGCATGGTAGCACGTGTCTGTAATCTCAGCACCTGGAAAGCTGAGGCAGGAGGATCACCCCAAGTCTGAGGCCAGCCTGGGCTAAGTAGTGAGTTCAAGGCCAGCCTGAACTACATAGCAAGACCGGGTCTCAGAAAAAAAAATAAAAGGACAAGGAGAGGACGGGGAGGCTCTGCAGCAGGGTCCAAGTCATGCAGCATAAAGAGCATTGGATGAGAGCGAGTCCAAGGCCATGAACTGGCTGAGAACACTGGGTGCTCCTGCCTCTTCAAACTGTGAACATGATGTGACAGTTCCCTCTCCGCCCACTTTACAAATTGTGTAGCATTCAGGAAGATGGTGAATGGGGACCGCACCTGGCCTGTGGCTCCCTCACCCCTGGGACGGAGGCCGACACTCACTTGTGTACCAGGCCCTTGTGCTGGAGGATGCTGTGTAGCTCCCGGGCTGTCTGGGGCCCCTGCAGCTTCTGCCCATTCAGCATCTCTTTCTCCAGCTGCTCAATAGACTGTAAAGAAAACAGGACATGTGGATGGAAATATGAAAGCAGGGTTGTTCATATGAGCTGCAGCGTCTGAGCTCAAACGGGAGGTGGGCTCTTGGAAGGAAAGAAAGGTGGGAAGGTTCATAACAGTATTTGTGCTGAAGACCTGCCTCCGGCTACGCGCCTCCACCACCATCCCCGCAGGGCCACCTTCCATCCTCCCTGTTCCCCATTCCCACCTTTCCAGTGCGGGCGAAGGCCTCGGCCACCTTGCGATTCCTCCCTCCGTAGCAGGTAGTGATGAGATCAGCAACACCGCAGCTCTCCAAGAAGGTGGCAGAGGACACAGGGCCATGGCAGAAGAGCTTGGCGAAGGCGATCATCTCCATGAGCCCCAGCCGTATCACTGCCGCCTTGGTGTTGTCACCAAAGCCCAGGCCATCACAGAAGCCAGCCCCCACAGCCACTACATTCTTTGGGAAGTAGAGGGCATGGATGAGAAAGGTCCCCTCCAGCAGTCCCACCAGAGCCCGCAGCACCTGCCTCTGCCCTCACTCACGTCGTCACACACACTGAATGAGGGAACTGTAGTGGATGTGCTTCTAAACTTTGTCCACCTCCTAGTTTTCCCACATGCTGCACCCTCTTCCTTCGGTCCCATCCCATAGTCTGTCCTTGAGGACATTTTCTGAGAGCCACTTTTCTTCCCAACTGGTTCTGCCACCCATGACTATCCCATTCTCTTCTGTAGCTCTGGCCATGAACTTTCTGGGTGTCCTAGACACCTTGTCTCCCGTTAATCTTGCCATCTCCTTTTGTCCCTGGACCACCCCTGAGAGCCAGGGATGGGGGTTCCCATGAGGGGGAAAGGGAAAAGGGCTCACTGCCTGATGGTGAAGGATACTCGAGTTTCCCTTGCCTGAGTGCCCTAGCCTTGCTTCTGCAGTTCTTTGGGGTGGCAGGGGCGGGGGGGCACTTCATGGGAAAGGGGAGTGGCCACCCAAGAGTGAGGCCTGGGCTATCAGCACCTTGCAGAGCTGAGCCAGGCCTTCCTTTGGGGCCTTACCTTCAGCCCATAGCTGTCCCTGTGCCCCACTCACCTTTAAGGCCCCACAGAGCTCTACTGTGTCCACCTCTTGTACCACTGTGACCCGGAAATTGGAAGTCTGCATCAGATCTTTCAGAAGCTGTCCCTGGGCCAGGTCCTTGCAGCCTTAAGTGGAGGCAAGGCTTTCAGGAGGGACCTTTTTTTTTTTTTTTAAGACAGGGTCTCACTGTGTTGCTCAGGCAGGTTTCAAATCCTGGGCCCTAGCTATGCTCCTGCCTCAGCCTCCTGAGTAGCTGGGACTACAGGCATGCATCACTGTGCCTGTCAAAGGGTGGGGACTCTTAACTGTCCTTCCCACACCTATCTAAGCAGGACCTGCAGCCCCTTCCCTGGGGGTACCCCAACCCTCCCTCAACTCCCTCTCTCTGCCTTGTGGAAGAAGGTGGCGCAGGGGCTGGGGAAGAGATCAGGGAGGGGAAGCAACTAGAACTTGTGGTGTCTGTGGGGCACTCTCACCAATAGTGGTCTCACAGAACTTCTCATCAGCCACCTCGCTGGCAATGTTGGCCCCCATCAGCACGCTCATAGGGATACCAAGGCACTCCCCAATCACTTCAGAGATGAGCTTCAGCCCACTGGGGCCCTCGTCTACCCCCTGGGCACAGGATGGAGCTCAGCCCAGCTGCTCTTTATGCCCAGCTGAGGGCTTCCCACCCAGAAATCCTGCCCTTTCCAAATCCCCTGTTCATCAGTGCCCCTCCCCCAAAGGTCCTATGCCATTCCAACCCAGCCCCAGCTGGCTGTGAGGGGGTAGACAGCAACAGAAAAGCAAGCCATGGGAAAACTCCTTCCCTGTACTCTACCAGACCTTTCTCTCTGAGGCATCATATCCCCGCTGAATCCCTAAACAACCCCCTCCTGACTACTCTAAATCAACGTCCTGCCCTGTCCCAGCTCCAGATCAGCTCCCCTCTCCTGCCCCTCAAACCACCCCTTCCCATATCCCCGAGGCATCACTTTTAAGTCTCCTAACTCCTCTAAGTCATCTGCCTCCAAATCACTCATTACTTTCCCACCAACCTCCAGCTAATGCCCCCAGGCATGCAACTCTCTTAACCCTCTCCAAAGCCAACTTCCCTCCGTTCTGGGACCTCAGTCTCTTCCCACCATGTTTCTATTTTGCTTGCTTTCCCCACCCTGAGCCCCACAACAGTTAGGCGCACTCCACTCCCATCCACGTGAAGGTGTGCCTAGCACCTTAATGAGAGACATGCCGATGGCACTGGCCTTTAGGCGACCCTTCAGCTGGTCACAGATCTTGCCAATGAACTGATGGGGCACCACAAAGATCAGGATGTCAGCTTCTGCTGCAGCCTGGACCACATCTGGGACAGCCACCTGTGGGATGGGTAGGTGCTTAGGGGCCGGGCAGACCTCTCCAAGCCCCTAGGGAACATCGAGGAAGGCCAAAGGCTGCCAGGACTTGGGAGGAGGACTAGGCCGAGTGAGATTTCATCACATTGCTCCTCAGAAGGCCCCAGCTGGGAAGGGAGAGCCCCCGCCTTTCTGCTCTCTTCCCTGCTTCCCCACTCCAGCTAGGGAGAGAGCCACATGGATTTGACCAAAGACCTAAAGTCCAAGGAGCAGCCTCCAAGTCTGCTAGTAGCCCAGTAAATGAATAATGAGGTGAGAGCCTGTGGCAGGCACTACCTAGACCCCAACTCTGGGAGCCTGACAACCAGAATTTGGTTGCTATGGAGACCAACTTCCTTGGCCCCTCCCTCTTCCTTCCCAGCCGGGGAGCCTGGAAGGGGGCGCGTATGGTCAGGTTCTCCTCAGTCCTACAGAGTGCCTAGGAGAGCCTAGATGAGGGTGTCTTGTGTCCACAGCAACCCTCCTGAGATGCTTCCCAAGTCCAGCTGGCACCTGAAGTGGCCCCTCTCAGCAGCCTTAACCGCTGACTCCTGGACTTACCTCCCTTGCTTCCTTCCCTCTTTAAGACCCTTTTAGGGTGTTGGGGCTTACCACATTTGGGGGCAGCTTGTGCCCTGGCAGGTATTTGACATTCTCATGCTGCGTGTTGATGATCTCTGTCAGCTTTCTGCCCCCAACATCTTCCTCAAACACCCACATGGTTACCCGTGGGTCAAAATGTGCCATCTGGACTGCATTGCCACCCACGATCTTGGCAATGGCTGAGCCCCTGGCAAAGGGGGAACACAAGAGAGTGGAGGAGTGTGGTGTGAGGGAGGGAACAGTGGCAGGGGTTGGGGTAGTCTCATCCTAGGACTTAACAGCAGCCCACCAGATTATTTACTTTCCACTTTTGTGATCACCTTCACCCCTGTGCCAAGTGTGTCCCCATGACCTGGCAAGAGAAAGGATCCTTACTCTCTCACACACTTTGCTGCTGGAGGAGAGGGCCAGCCTTCTGATCCCAACCCCCAAGCCCAAAGAGCCTTTTAGATAGGAAAAGGAGCACTCTGGTTGCCTTCCTGTGGCAAATAGGTGCAGCTGCCCAGGCAGACACAGGGCTGAGGAGGTCTGGGCACCATCTGTCCAGTGCGCATAGGCACAGAAGACAGCAGCAGGGGCTGAGCAGGAACCTAATGGTATTTCCTGCCCACCCTCTGCCTCCTGCCCTCCCGGCTTCCCTCTCCAGCCCCTCTGCACAAGGGGAAGCTATCCTTCTCCATGCCCCTTGACAGAGCTGCTTACCAGTTGCCAGAGCCTACAATGCAGACTTTCTTGGCAGCCATGGTGCCGCTTCACTCCCGAGCTGCTGGTGCCGGCCTGGAGCATTTAACTCTACCACACGTGGGTATAGCCAAGCCCCGCCTCCAGGGGTGGCTGGGAGGCTGGCGCCCAGGGAGAGACGGAGTGTGCCAGAGCCAGGGAAAGGGGAGAAAAGGGTAGAGACAGGTGGGGAACGGGAATGGGGCAGAGGCCAGGCCATCTTTTACTCAGGTTTGCAGCTGGCGGTGCTGGTGAGCTGCTTCTCTTGGTCCCAGCCCAGTTTCCTACCCCTCCTTGAAATAGTCTCATTTTGAGTTCTGCCAAGAAATAACCCAGGTAAGGAGTGAATGAATGGTCCCCCTCAATGCCCTTTGATCCCCAGCACTGAAATAAATTCTATTTAGCCTATTAGCCCTAGTAGCAGGTGTGAGATTACCCCATCCCCACCCCATGGTACTAGAGGTGGAAATTAGGGGTCCTCTACTATTAATCCCACGTTTCAAAAGTCTCCCTGAGTTGCTTTGGTAGAACTCAAACTTGCCATCTTCCTGCCTCAGTCTCCCTCAGGGTTAAAATTACAGGTGTGAACCACAGTGCTGTTTCCCTTTCAGAGGTAAGAATCATCCCCCACCCCACCCCCAGCAATTGCCCACCACTGGCTGCTCTAGTTTGTCCTCTCCTGGCCCCACGCTAGCTCTACGGCAGGTGCTGGCCTGTGGGTGAGGGGGTGGGCAGACATGTGCCGCTTCTAAGGATAAGGCCACACACTAGGTAAGGGCCTGCTTTGAGGGCAGCCCAGCCCACGTTTTTTGTTTTTGGTACTGGGGATTGAACTCAGGACCTTGTGCTTGCGAGGCAGGCAGCGGAACTACTGAGCTAAATCCCCAGCCCTCCAGCCCACATCTGACACCCCAGGAGACACACAGGACAAGGTTGCCACAGGAGCCATCTCAGGGATTTCATTCATGGGCCTCGCCATGCCTCGATCGCCACCTGCATGTCTTGTAGGAAGGAAAGGAAAAGGTCAGAGTCACAGCACTCTGATGCCACATGGCCCACAGTTCTGGGCTGAAGGACAGAAGAGGCAGTGGCCAAAGTTCCTTTCAGTTCCTTTTCTTGGGTTTCCACAATACTACTTGAGGGCCGGGGATTTAGCTCAGTGGTTTTGCCACCTGCTGCACAAGCACAAGGACCCGAGTTCAATCCCCAATACAAAACAAAACAAAACAAAACAAAATACTACTTGAGGAGCTCCCTCAGGTTAATGGGTGGTTTCCAGAATGCAGGAGAGAACCAGGACCCAGGCGGCTCTTTCCAAAACTCAGGTAGTTGTGTCCTCCTGAGCTTTATGGTCTCAGAAGCCATGAGTAAGCTTAAGTGTAACTTTGAGGGAAGAGGCCAGCAGGCACACGTTCAGTTTAGGCTCTCCACTGTCAACAGACATCTGTTTGACTAAGAGGAGGAGGAGCTCTGGTTTCCAGGCTGGTCTCAAGTGGAAAAAGAGGCTCTTACCCTCCAATGGCCTGCACCCTGGCCTAGAGGGCAGACAGCATCAGCACTGCCTGCTCACGTGCTGACCTCCTGGTTTGGCAGACTGCTGAGTGGGCGTTAACATCTTCTGGGGCCACCACTGGCCAGCAACAGCAATGCACACTGGGTTACAGGCCAGTCTGGGTGCAAGAGTAGGAAGGGGGCAGGAGGTCAAGACTGGAGATGACTTCTCCCAGGGCCAGAGTCTCCATAAGGGGAAGGTACATAAAATCAGTAGTTTGTTGTTCTTTAGAACAAAGTTAAGCCTTACACAGAGCTTGCCTGCCACAGCCCGCTCTTTTATTGCACTGAGACGAAGGCACCAGTGCCAGGCTGCCAGCTAGGGTACTGATTATGGGAGATGGAAGTGAAAGGATGTTTCTGTCCCTGGCACAGGATAGAAACCCCAAAGAATGGACGCTTATACTCATGATTTTGCCTAAATGCTTCCTTCTCTTTGCCTTTACAGTCATTTTAGTGCAAAGACAAAGCATTCGCCAAGACTAAGAACTATCTGTACCACTAGAGCTCTTTCCCTGAGAGCAAACTGTAGATTATTTGCTTGAAATTAAATGATTCATCAGCCACTCACTACACCTGTAATCAGCCTGGGTAAAAACTGATGTCATTTAAATGTCCTTGACATCAATTTTCTCCACTCCAAGTTATCACCCCACACACTCCTCTACTTTCCCTGCTCAAGTCTGGGAAACTCCCAAGTTTCAGATTAGGAGCAGGTGTGACTGCAAGGCAATGCTCAAGTGTTTTCCTTCCATGGAAGGATCATTCTAAATTACAATTTTGGAACACAGCTGCCCTCACCCTACCCCTACACTTTTTTTTTTGAGACCGATCTTGCTATGTAGTTCAGGCTGGCCTTGAATTATGCAGCCTACTAGTCAGGTGTGGTGGCACACACCTGTAATCTCAGCCCTTCGGAGGCTGAAAGAGGACAACTGCAGCAATTTCATGGCCAGCCTTGGCTAGTGAATTCAAGGTCAGCCTGAACAAATATTGAGACCACCTCAAAAAAGAACTGTATAGCCCAAGCTGGCCCCAAATTTATGGGAATCCTCCTGCCTCAGCCTCCTGAGTTCTAGGATTGCAAGCATGTGCGACCATGCCCATCTACTCTCTTCTTTGTGGACAATGGCACAGAGGATGAAAGAAGAGGACTACTAGAAGGGGAGCAGGGAGAACTGTAGAATTCCGTTTTTGTTAATGTGAGTAATTACCCCTTAGCGTTCCTCCAAACTAAGGATAAGGGGCTGGCTACTGTGTAAGAGTGTAACACACTGGATCCTTTTCAGGACCTTGAGGGAACCCTAGAGTACTGGGCTTCCTGGGAAATAAGACCTAACAAGATAAAAAATGCCAGCCCCAATCAGCGTATCTTTGCCTTACCTGCCATTACAGAGTAACCACTGACCAAGAGTTAAGTATGATCTTCTGCATGACAATGGCCTTCATCATGGTAACAACCAGCTATTAATTAGCTGGTTTATTTGCCAGTTAGGTCTAGTTTTCGAGGAAACACGGTACCAACCTCAGAAAACCTACGTGCCAGCTGTTAGGCAAGCCTTGGCCTTGGCCACACATGGCCAGGTGCCTCAAGGAGACAAGGAACGCCAAGAGGAGACCTGGGCTCGTCAACCCTAAGGAACCTGAAGACCGTTCACTCCATGCAGAAAGTGGCCTGCCAAGTTTGGAGGGACAAGGGAGAAAACTGCAGCATCACTGACCTCGCAGTACCTGCTGGACAGGGGAGTCGGAGGGCCCAAAGGCCCAGTGGTACAGCCCAACACGGCAAGCAGCACCTGGCTCACAGTCACGAGCCTCTAAGGTGAGACCGTGAGTCCACAGAGAAGAAACCTGGATCCCCAGTGTCACGTACCGTGGCTAGCACACAACAGGTGTTCAATAAAAATTTGTCAAATAAAATGCACTGCAAGCTGGGCTGACTGTGCCAAAGGAGAAAGAGCTCAGGAGCTCTCCCACAGGAGGCAGGGAACTCACCCTTCAGAAGATTCTTTTATTAAAACTGGGTGACACTGATAAAGGGGACAATACAAAACAAAATTTTGGTCCATGAAAAAAACATAATTCAGTTAATAAAAATTTATCTTCAACAGAGACACTGTGTAGGATTGCTGAGCTTCCTCCCTGTGGTTCCAGGCAGGGGACGGCCAGGGCTCAGCAGCCCCAGGGCTGTCCAATGTCACTGTGGGGAGACCCTTTTGCTGGAGGGTTGGAAATATGGCAGGAAGAGGAAGATGGGGAAACACTCTGCTGTCCCGTCAAACAAGCAGGGACAAGGGGCAGGGTGATGTGCTCGCAGGAGCCTGAGGAGGGGTGGGGAAGCAGGAGCTGTCAGTTCTGTGGGTTCAGAGCCCATGCTGAGCAGAATCTCCTGTGCCCAGCTGTCTCCCACCCTGCTGTGTTGAGTCTGCGAGCCTGGGATATGCTAACTCGAGGCAACAACCTGGAAGAATCTGAGGCTCTCCTGGAAAGATGCAAAACCATCTCAGTTCCAAGGGGCCAAGATCCTGAGGTTCTGCTGCTACCTGAGGGGTCTGAAGCTTCTTGAGGGCCAGGGCTGGGGAGTCAGAATGCTGTGAGGCAGGAACAGGGAAGAGTCACAAACCCAACTCAGAGCTGTTTTGCAGCCCTAGGCGCTTTCACTCCTCAGTGCCCTAGAAGTCACCAGTAAGTATCAATAGGGCAGACAGGGACAGGAAGACAGGGATGGCCCAGGGCTTTACCCGTTTGATTCTAGGCCTGTTTCTCCACTAAGAGAGGGGAGCAGGGCGGAGTGAATGAGTCACTCCCCCAGCAGGAAAGAACAGCCTCTGCTGGCAACGGCAGTACCCCAGATTAGATCCCTGGGGCTCTGACAGGGAAGGGCAAGATTCCCCCACCCAAATACTGTGGGCTAGGCCAGATATGAGGGAATCCTAAGGGCATCTACAGGGAGTGTGCGGGAGGGAGCAACAGTTTAAGAACAAGCTCCAATACTGATGTGGACCCCTACTAAGGAGTCAAGAGAAGCACTGAGACCACAGGTCAATCCAGAGGGCTGGGGACTGACCTGGGGCTTGCTGGAGCCCAAGAGCCAGGGTTCCTTTAGTGCTAGAGGGCAACAAGTGAAGGGAGAGTTTGCTCCAAACCTGTAGAGGAAGGAAGGAAACTGGATTCTTGTCAGAAGGGCAAGTCCACTAGCTTACAGAGCACCCCCAGGCCTGAGTCTAGGAGGAGGGGGCACCAGCTCCCAACTCCTGGGTCTCTGAAGGGCAGGATCAGTGTAGCTGGTCCCCTTGAAGACCACTTGGCCTTAGGCTCAGTCCATTCAGAGCACTGATTGCCACTACAGGTTCTCTCTCTAACACTATCTAGAGGTCCAATGCAGACCAGGGGAGGGCAGAGGCACATGGGAACCTTGTGGGGAAAAAGGAAGCTGGGGGTAGGAAGGGATGGGACAGGAGAAGAGGATAACAGGTGTCTTGGGAGACAGAAATGTGAGACCCTCTTCATTCTGGTATTGTGTCCTTGAACCAACAGCATCCCCGGAAGGCCCTAAGCAAGACCAAGGCAGGAGCTATGAGGCAGGTAGCACAGGGCCCAAATAAAGAATCGGTTCAGCCAAATCAGGGCTGTAGGAGAAGCCCTATGTATTCCGGATTCCCAGAGCTTGCTCTAATTCTTGTCGTCTCTGCTGCACCTAAGGAGAAAATAATGGGAGTGGAAGATGAGACAGATCAGAAGTTGGTACCTAACACGACTGACTCTTACCAAGAGGTCACACCTAGCACCCTCTGTCAAAGTCCCCTTGCCCCATGCACCTACCTTGGAGTAGAAGTATCGGCACACAGCCTCCTGAGCCCAAGGCTGGAAGTAGAATTCAGCTCGGCGCTCCTCCTCTGGGTTACCCACCACATCGGTCATGGTCTAAGGGAGAAGGATGTAGGAAAATGGAAAAAAAGAAACTTATTTCCCTCCTTTATATCTGCTGTTGGTCAAATTTTATTCCCCCAGAAGATGTTCAAATTTGAATCC